ACACCACTCATAAGGGGAGGCATGTTTCCCCATTTATTCATGCTGCAGATAAAATTATTTAGCAGACTATAAACTAAGTTTGTTACATAAAAGCCTGAGTCCCCCTTGAGAGATTTTCAAGTCACTGAGAAGATCCATAGGCCTTATAACCAAAAGCCAAGTCAACAAGACTAAAGTCTTTGGTTTAGAAGAATTTTGTGTTAAGGTATTTGAACAAAATTCCCAATCTGAAACAAAAACATAGAGGGGGGGGCTCAAAAAGGGGAAAAAAAAAATTACTGCTAACACAAGAAGTGAAGGGAATTCTTTCTGGGAAAGACGTGCTGTCCAGAGGTTATCACAAAAGGCAGGTTAGGACTTCTGTTTCTCTGATTTCACTTTTCCATGTCAGTGTGCAAACTACTGTCATTTAATGATGGCATCCTTTGTTTCCAAAGGAGAGAGATGAAAACTTTCCCATGGCTCTTCCAAAGGCTGCAGGCATCATAGTAGTAAATGTTACAATTCTAGTTCTGGGCAATGTGCAGAGGGCCCTGCGTGAGCAAACAGATGGAAGCTTAGTCCTACCTGAGACAGAACTGCAGATTGTCTTCTCAAACCATTTAAGAATACTGGCTCAGTAGTGCACATAAAAAGTAAAAAGCAATAAATCATCCTCCAAATTTAGAAGTATCCAAGGTCTTCCAAGTCCATCTGTTACAGCACAGAAACTCGTGCTTTCTTAGCTTCAGACATCCAGCAAAATATCAGCCCAAAGCATGCCTACAACCCAGCATAACCACCAATGCACTTGCCTGCACACACAAGACAGTCTTACCTACCTGCAGTATAAATATCACTGAACATTCTCTTTAGCAGGAGGTCTGCTTTGTAACGGTAGTTGGGCCTTAGCAGAACTGTTCCAGTTTACTTCCTTCCTATTCCCAAAAACTCGAGGATGCTGCCAGGAAAGGAACAGAGCAGGGCCTCTGTCTGCAGGGGCTGCCATCTCTGCACAGAAAACTGAAGCAGTGGCTGCTTTGTTCTGCCATCAGATTCCTCCAAAGACATCGCTCTGTATAAGCAACCCATGAGCAAATTTCTTTGCTACTAACTGAAGAACTGAGTTGATTGTGGCATTGTGTACTGAGCAGCATCTGCCTGTGAACAGCTGGCTCCATACAGCAAAGCTGGGGGCTACTGCCTGCTGCTTACAGTAATAATGTTCCTCAAATACCTAAAAATCACATTTAACTCACTGAAAGAAAGTTCAGAAATGCTTGGCAGGAATATACTCCATACACAAACCAGTACCGGTAAGCGCTTAAAGTGACAAGGATTGTCTTGAAAAACGACACTTTGCTAAACAGACAACTTAATGCTTTCACATGCATATCAAGGCATCAGAGACCACTAAGCAAACTGGTCCTGGCTCATGAGTCAAAAGCAGTGAGAGATGGCAATTTTGGTTGAAAAAAAAAAAGTTCTCTGAAATGTTGGACCAGAGAAAGTCGGTAGACCTTTTTTTGTAATGCCTTGCTGTGTGTGTGAATTGGCATCCTCCACAGATCACAACACTGTGTTCAAAGTTACTAAGGCACGCAGTGAGTGTGAACTGCATCTACACAGCCCGTCACATAAGCAAAATCAACACTTCTCACTGGCACGAAAAGAACCAGAACTAATGCAAAACCAAAAAGTGTTCTCATGGTGCTGTGCTCAGAGGATTTAATTTCAGTTTTCACCACTCACCAAAATTAACTCTGAGGAAGAAAAACACGATCAAAAACAATTTTTATCTAGTTCCATATGTTATAGTGTAATGCTATAATGGGATGGAAAGTGCTGCAATAATAGCAGGGTGGCAAAGCCTTTGGCTGCAAGAAATGAGAATGAGCCCAAATACAGTAGCCATGAATGGAGAAATGAAGGAAAAGAACCGCTTACCTTTGTAAGGCCTCAGGTAGGCAGGGATCTCCAGCAAGAGATTTCCTCACCTCCACTGCCAACACTTAACTGAGGTCTGGGAAGGGGATTGACCCTGGCTCCATCCCTTCTGGTCATTCAGCTACATTGCATGCACCTGAGCTCCCCTGGGTTGGCCCTGCCTTCCCACCAGGTGCTCAATCACTGCTTCAGGCTTTGCATTTCCACTACATATAGATACAAAGAGGACTGAGAACTTTTCAAAGTTCTCAAATTCTGTGAGGGACCCCAAACAGAATAGTACCACACTGTGGTTTCCCAAGTGCCCTAAACAAGACAACTGAGAGAGCTTCCTTTAGTAATAATCACATCCAAATTAATAAGCACTCACAATGAAAAAACTTCTGACAAGCCATACGAAAAGTCAGCAAATTAGAGCTTGGGTGTCGTGAAAGCACCCAATAGCTATCAGGCAATACCTGATAGCACTAATGAAATCACCAAGTTTCAGAATGACCTTCTCTCCATCTTAGGGAGATAATAATAACACCTTGGGAGCACTGATTCAGCCTCTCTACACCCCTTCAATTTCTATGACTGGGAAGACAGCTGCAAGTATATTCTTATCCCAGAGGCTGTTTTTCATACTGGCAGATTGAATCAGCTTATTTTACGCAGAGGAAGAGATGTCAGTGTTTTTTTTTCCTCATCTACCCTTTCTAAGGCTATTATTTGTCTTAGATTTCCTGTAGGCTAGCAGTGTGCATTTTGGACTGCGGCTGAGCAGGCTTTCATTGCGCTGAATAAACAGCAGCTGGAGAACCAGGACAGACAGTAGAAACTGTCTGACACGAACTTGACAGCCAGGAGACTCTCTTTAAAACGTACCTTAGCCTTTAGCTCCGTCCTAGATGGGTTTTATCCATCTCCACCCAAACTGAGTCCCTTCACTGATGCGGAATGTAGCAGTTCATTTAGTGAAAGCAGCACCCTAGAGAAAGCTGGTGGCTGACTGTGCTCAACGAACAGTTTGTGCTGAAAGAAAATATTTGAGATTCATGTACTGTGGAAATTCTGAAATTCTATCCCGCAGGCAAACCTCCACCTTCTGGAGTCAGCTTGGAGCATTTATTTATAGTTTCAGGACAAACTGAAACCCAAAAGAGATTTGATATATTATCTTTCCTAGAATGTTCTTCTCAGCAATTTAGAACCAGCCAAGGCCGTTGCTAAAAAGGTGATTATTTTCAGTTTGGAACACCCCAGACTTCTGGTATTTCACCTTATTGAGGTGATTTTTTTTTAGACTCTAATAAATTAAATCTCATTACATAGGCAAATGTTCACAAAGTATTCTGCAGTCTCCAGAGGGGAAAAGCTCTTAATTAATTTACACACCAATCAGGCTTCATCTTGATAAGCACTTGTGAACTCAAACTAGTGTGGGAGTGCCTTGCCTGTGGAAGACACCAGTCGTTCTACCACCATTAGAAAGCCCACACTGCAGGACCAAACTTCAACTCCATCCTACTTGTTAGAAACCATTATCAGACAAAGCACTGATAAGCACATGCTTTCTAGAAGACCACTCTGCACTTGAAAGCAATGCCAAGAAGTCGTTATCACACTGGGAGAGGCCAACCTGTAACTATTTCCTAGCAATACCAACACAGAGAATGGAGAGATACTTCCCTTACCAGCCAATACTCTGGTGCAAAATGCAACAACATGGAATTCATCGTTTGCCAGGAGGACTTCCCATCTCCAGCCTCTTTATTTTTCCAAAGTTTACCAGCAATTTTATGATTATTTTAAAATAGCTGTTTCAAAGGATTGAAAATATACACATGGGGTCACCAGCAATTCTTTTCTTGTTAAAAAGGCATTAGCTTCTAAGTTTGCATCATCCGAAGCCAATGGGAATTCAAGTGATTAGCACCTTGCAGAACTAATCCCATTACAGCTCAATTCTGCATTTTCTGAAGTGCCCATGGAAATAATTACACTCAACAATCTATAAAACATTTACAACACCATTCCTCAAACTCGGGCACAAGAGATTAGTAGCCCAGATGCCAATGACAAAGCACTGGTCATCAGTGCAATGCTACTCATATCAAAATCTAGAAAACAAACAGAAGTAAATCTGGATCTCCTAGCCACTAAGGATAGCTTCTGAAGAGCAGATATAGTAGGTGGCAACCCTTCACAAGTCTCCTTAGACATCTCAAGATCAGGTATTTTAAATTAATGCCGACTCTAGCAACCTCATCTAAGAACGTTCTTTAAAATTCCAGACTTATTCCTTCAGGGAATATCAGATCACAACTGCGAGACAAGTGAAAAGCGATCCTTGTCTGTCTGTGCCACGCTTGGACAGGTCCTTGCCTGGTTATCTTTTTGTCCCAGCTGCAAGGTGGTTTCTGACTTATGTTATGCATTGCATGCGCCTCGGCGGTATCCTTCTCATTAAACACGTCACCCGCTCAGTTAGCTTGATTTCTCAGCTGCATGGTGGTTGTCTTTTGACCCTATGAATTGGAAGCAGAGAGCAGAAAGAAATGATGCAATTCCTGGCTAGGTTGATACTCTTATGGCTGCGAAAAAAAATAGAAACAGCAGTGCTGAAGCTGCTGAAAGGTTTTTCCAGAGATATATAAGATTACTCAACAAGCACCAAATCCTCAGCAAGCAACAAATCCGCAAAATTAAGTAGTTAGCATTCAACATTCCCTAAAGACAACATCTGCATGTAAGCAGAAAGAATGGATCTTCTTGCAGTCTGATTCAACCAACAGCAGTTCTACAGCCCTCCAGACATCGCCCTTCCCATTTCTGCTGCACTGCACATTTATCTTGCGGTGCTTTAATGCACTGTTCAGGGCACTCAGCATCTCTCCAGTGGTTACAGCCTCTCACACACCTCCACAAAACCATGCTCAGTGTTCTGACCAGAACAGGACCGCAGAACTTCACACATCTACAGTCAGACATGTGCCCACTTCATCAGCATCACCTCCCGAGCCCCAGGAGCTGCAGTCACAAAGGAACATTTATCCACTGAAAGCTCAAAAAAAAGAGGTTAAGGAGAAGCATTGAGTTAAAAGTTTTATTCATTCAACATCTCACATTACAAATATTTAAAAATTATATGCATACTGGTATAAATAGTCATTTGCAAACTATTTAATAACATTAATTTTCACTAGCACTTCAACAAATGAACTCTTTAAAAAAAGTAACTTGTGTTATATAACTTAGAGTAGAACATACAAAAATATGAACTTAAACGTGAAAATGACTTTAATAAAAAATGAATTACCCTTATTTAAAATGCTATAATAAATACTACAACCTCCCCATACACAGTAAAAACTATATGGAAATTCAGCCAAGTAGTACAATTAACTGACATACTTAAATAACTTTTCCTTCTGATAATATGAGCAATACATTGGGGGGAAAAACATATTAGGGATTAGTAAAAACTAGACACCCACTTGCTAAAAGTTTCACTTCCAAAAAATATAACAAAAAAATCTGATGAAAATTATAAAAACTAATTATACTTTAAGATTTAAAAATATAAAAAATAAAACAGTTGAATACAATATTGTCCCAATTCTTACAATGCTATCACAGTAGCTTTAAAATAATAAAATAAAGCAAATGACCAAAACCTTTTATTCCATTTTTTTTTAAAAATAATCTCAAATTTACATTAGTAGAAAGATCGATTTCTGATTCTTTTCTTTAGAAACGCCAGCAAGAAAGAGGATTTACTAGAACAGTAGAAAATGACATTTTTAAATGTCTGCAATTAAAAACAAAGAATTACACTGCAAAGATCTTCCAGAAGTCTGAAATAGGTATTGCACATAACTTGAAGTTAACTTGCCACAATTCATCACATTCAAGTTTTAAATCACCTTTTAACAGAAGGTTTCAACTCCTCTAAAAACAAAAGGGGTGAATTATCAAGTCTTTCCAACAGCATCCTTAGAAAACGCTAAATTCATTCACTGCAAGTTTTAAATTTGCATTCTGCAGAGGTCTGTGTATGGAGAAGTAGATACTATACCAAAAAGCACGGGGCAGTGGGGTTCCTTTACATACAAAATAATCAGAAACACTTTATTTTACATTGCAAAAATAACCATGTAATTACTCTGTAACTACACTGTAAATACATGGCCGGTGCCATGCTAGTGTGATAAAACTACATGCTCATCAACCCCTTGCAAATCGAAGTGATACCCTAAGACTGGTAAACTAATTACATGTTAATTATGTTTGGAGCTACACGGTAACCCCAACTACAAATCCCATGTAATCAGAAGGACGTGCCGTCACTACTTAAGTACAGAGTAATGCCTATAATTGTTTATGCCCTGTAAATCGAAGTGTAACCAAATAATCTGTAAACACGCTTGTCACACAATCACAAGTGAATATTAGTAGAATAACAACTTCTTACATTAGTCATGCATACTAACATTACGCGCCCGCCACCTAGCAGGCTCTCTTTTATTCTTTAAATATAATTTAAAAGAGTAGACACATTTCTGCATCAAACACCTAACACCGATTCTGTATTAATATTAAAAATGGCTAAACATTCACCAAAAACGTCTGCATTTGTGTATCATCTTTAAAAACTCAGTAAGAAGCGGTAGACAATTTTGATGGTTCTTTGCTTTTAAATCCTACGCTATACTTATGCATTTAAATTTCAGGGTCTAAAGACAGTGTCATTTGTCACTTTCATGCTTTTCTTCTTTAATTCTCAACTTTACATATACTATTTCTTAAATTATATGTACACCAAATACCTGGTGCTGGGCTAAGATGTTTAAGCAACATGCTTTCTTTTCTCTGCAGATTCTAAAATAGCATTGCCAGTGCACAACATCCATAATTCAAAATGTATGCAGAGCACTGAAATGTATAAAAAGCAGAATATAAGAAAATAAAATTTATTAAAATTATTTATATTAAAAAATGAAGTATATGAAGATCTCTCAGTAATAAAAGTACAAAAAGCTACTCTTTGCAATATGAAAAATTGAGGTATTGCATAAAGAGATATCCCGTCAGTGAAAAGTGTGCCTAAAAATGCTCACTGTTGGAAAAACAAGATATACAAAAGTAGTGCATAACAAATATACATTATGTGCATGACAAAATAAGTTAGCTACAAAAACACTGTACCGAAATTCAGCAGGTCATGTACAAAGGGAAAATTATTATTCAAAGCTAGTTCTCAAACAGTGTTATTTCTCGTAATGGTAACCCATCTCACCTGTTTACTGGGTAGGATCGGCACAATAGCACACCCCAAGCCACCTACAAGCATTAAAAAAATTAAAGGAACATTCCAACTCTAACTATGTACTTCAGAGAAAAAAAAGTCCCTGACAATCTACACAAGAGCACTCTGCATTTGCATTACTGTTGTCAATATTTTCAGGGATTTCATTAAAAGCAGCTCCCTTTCTATACTTGACTAATAGACAGCAAATGTCTCCATTTTGACCTTTGGAACTCGAGAAGGTTCATTAAAGCCTGTATTGAAAATAAAAACTGCTTCTCATAAAGATAATCTGGGCTGGGGGACGGGACGAGGGGGCCGGCAAACGCTTTCGGCGCAGCAGATGTTTCCCAAGCAGTGCTGAGGCAAGTCTTTGGTCTGAGAGAATCTAGGATGGTACCACGCCAGTCGGGCGGTTTAGAAGATTGCCACTGAACCTGTTTGGTTGCACACTGCTGAAGAGTAGTTTCAGAAGTTGGCCGGGGCTTTAGTTCAAAAGTAAGAAAAAATAACGTTCAGAACTACTCCTTCATTCAGCCATTTCAAACTAAACCCCTGCACCCACTCTTTATCATTCCATTAACATGTACTGTGTTAATGCTTCTCAAGGTAGAATTTGTTTATAATAAAGCAGGCATTAACTTAGCAATGTTGGCACTTCAAATACCTGTGTTTCTCTATTTTTCCATATTAAGTTCTGAAGAAGAGGAATTTTAGCTGGGATTCTTTCTACAAGAAGAGTAAGAAAGGCATATGCATGCTTGCACTGTTTCATGCACAAAACAGTGCAAAACAAGACCTGGAAACTATGGAGGTTCATGCCTTCTGTTACAACTAAGTTAGAGAGTATTCAAAACTAACTTTACATCCATGATGGGAAACCAGTAAGCAGCCGATTTTACTTTGTGTGACACACTGGAATATCAAAACTTCAGTAAAAATTGGTGATATCCTTGAGGTATCTTAAGGTTTTCTAGTTTTTCATGTCAAAATGGAGAGCAAAGGCTGGCCCCTGATGAATGTTAGTACATTAGGATATAGAGTTATATATAGCCATCAAAAATAAAATCTATATATTTATCCTTCAGGAGAGGAAACGCCAGTTAACTAGTTGTCATTACTCTAGCTTTGGTTGGACTTCTAGGGCTGTAACCAGACAATTGAATTCTCTTAAACACAAAGGAAAAAAAAGTGCACTCCCCCCTCAGTAGTAACTTTACTCAACTTTTACATTCAGGAATTCTTAAAATGTAATAATTTTGATGAAAATATAGTAAGCTCTGCCTATCTCATTACTAATTTGGATGTGGGTGGTAGTCAGAGGCAAGGTCAGATAAACACCGAGCAAAAATTTCAGCCTCAAAACCCTGAAAAGATTAAAGAAAGAAAGAAGGAAAGAAAGAAAGAACTATCATTATTAAAACGCTGCTTCAACTTTACTCATGCATTTTTGTTGCTTTAAACATGCTCTTTCCTGTTGATAGGTAAACGCTAACTTCAGCTGTTGCTGGAAAAATCCAAAGTCAAAACAAAACGAGAGGCAAAAACAGGCTTCCCTGGGGAAAAGTGTCAGAACAGACTTATAGTGTTATTGTTACATGGTTATTTTAATAAAAGTATTCTTATGTTCTTTATTAACAATAATTTAATTAAAAAACCAAAATACTCTATTGTTTCAATTCTCTTTTCTTAATATTTTTCTCTCCTCTAAGAAAATGTTGCATGAAATTAAGTGTTCTCTCCCTAGTAAAGACAAGAGAATGCAACTCACTTGCAACATGTTATCAATACGAAAAGGAGTTCCCAATACAGTTTTCAATGACAAGGTTCTACAAAATACCCATATTATAGGTCATTCTTTCATTATACTATTGTTAAATTACAGACTACTACAAAAAGGACATGCTATCTTGAATAAGAGAAAGGGCAGGGTGGGTAGGGACAATCAGGATAACAGAAGAGTGCACTTAATTTGAGGCCTGCATATGAGCGCTGCAGCGATCATTTAGTTCCAGCGGAATGAAATATGTCTTGGGCGATCTCCTCCCTCCTTCACCAGGGGCTTGTGGAATTCCCTGCCAGCGCGTGAATGGATAGCAGCCCAGCAATATTCACAGTAATACTGCAGACAGGTAACATTAGCACAGAAAAATGGAGCAAATTTTCCACCGCAACGGGCCCCCTGACATTCATCACAAAGCTGATCGTCCAAGACATATGGCTTAACTTCCACCTGCGTACAGAAAATGAGAAGAAAGTTTACAATTCTTAATTACAATGCATAAGAAGACAATTCCACAACATATAGTATTTGCATTCTAGCAGGGAACAACACAGACAAGAAGTAAATGCCAAAACTCATAGGCACTTAATGCGAGAACAATCTTGTTCCCGCTGCATTCCTTGATCCTTCAAAAACCACCACAGAATCCAATGCTCAGCATCAACAGTTTCACACAAGCTGTCATTTGTTTGCAGAAAGGAACAATCAACATGTGGCTGTAGAACTGATACACACAGATTCACACCAAAATGCTGGAGAATTCTGGGGATCTATTTTTAAGTAGCGTGATGCACAACCAAGCTCCTACCCATTCAGGTAGGAACGTCAACTGTTTACACAACACTGCCTGCAGATTAAAAGCAGTTTGCAAATTTCAATGTCTGAATCCCCGGCTTTAAAAAAAAAAATCATTATCTTCAATAAACAGCACATCTCTGTTCTCTTTTTCTGTGGCTTTGTCCACTCAGCAGAAAGAGACCCACCTACTCTTGCTGGTATCAAATACGAGGCTTAAAATGGGACTGATGACCATCTACTTAGTTGGCATGAAGGGCCAGATGAGCAGCAGACAAGAAAGAAGAAACATTTAAGTTCTTAATTGATAATGACTCACAGGAACTTACCAGCTGGTGCTACAAGGATACATCTACGCTTCAACATCTGCAGGCTACTAGCTTTTAATCTAGGCATTTGCATACCAAGAACAAACCCCTGCCCACAGTGCAGAATGCTGACTGTGTGACAGGAAGGCGAAGCTTGCTGCTCTCAGTATACAAGCTGGCTGGAGTACAGCTCGTTTAGACATGCCTACGTGTTCAAATAGCATTGCCATCCCTTGCAGGCTGGGTTTCACCTCATAACCAATAACCACCTCTGCTCCTGTTGCTTCACTCCCTAGGACTATGAAAGGTCCATCAGAAGCACAACAACAAACCTTAAACCTCACCTTAAAGAAGCATACAAACAAGTTCCCCGTCCTGATAGTGTTTGTGAGCCCTCCCTAAGGGAGGAGCCTGTGCCATCAGGCATTTTCACAACCATTCCCAAATATCCAGACAGCAACTGGTGTCTCTATGTCGTCCTGCTATTTCTGCATCTGCTTAGGGATGGCTCCTTCTTCAACTCACAAATCTCAGCTGTATGCCAGCTGATTCACATTCACATAGCATTTTGAACTCACCCAATCCTAAGAGGCTCCAGAGGAGACACTGCAGTAGGTTCATGTCATTTGTGCTTACAAACTACTTGAGAGACAATACAGCAGCCTTTTCCCTCTTTCTTTTTCTCCTCTCCCATTGATAATGTTTCTCAAGCTCTCCTCCACACCAGCTCAGAAGAATAGATTTACAAAAGAGTAGCAGAAGACTGAAGAGAAGGAGACTTCACTTTCTCCCTTTGTCATCTATTTTGCTAAGCAGTTGGAGGTTGGGTGCTCAGTGGTGAGCTAAGAGGACAAAATACAGCTATGCTGTGCTGACCTCCTTAACATGGCAGCTCTGCAGCTTTACTGTGCTTGAATATATGCGTTCAGAGGCTGGCTTAGGCTGCAACCTAAAGGCCACACTACAGCACGGGTAATTATACCTCTGCTTGCTTTAGCCTGTTACTGCACCACTGGTTTCTGTACAAGTCTATAAACCACAGGTATGAGTCAGAGTCCTCAACACATTTATTCAGTGTGTGCTATAGTGCACAGGACCAACATGGCCTGCATTTCTTACCTGTGCTGGCTACGTGGAGGCTTTACAAGAAGTACCTTAAAGTACAGCAACTTCATCAGGCACACTTAGGGTGGCAGCACACAGCAGAAGCTCAGTAGCAGTGGGCACTGCAGACCACTGAGCATTTACCTTGCACTACCTCTCTGAAGGCACATCTATCAGCAGCACCTCCTTGCCTAATTTTACAGGAAATCCCTTCTTGTTATTACTTTCATTTTTATTTGTACAGAAAAACTCAATTAAAAAACAAACAAACAAAAAAAAACCAAATAGCAAGTAATTAATAAAAAGCATTATTTCCATTGTTGCCTTTTTATATCTTTTATGCAACCAAACGCTCTTATAACGAATCCTCTGAACATTTATCTCCCCATGGCTTTTCTGAACACACAAAATGGGGAAATACAGAGGAGGAGAGAAGGAAGGGGAAACAGATTGCAGAATACTTGCCAGAGTTCACAATTACTTAAATTTCTAGTCCCGACAGCTTCAATGGACCTATTCACCCAAATGTCTGCTTATGCAAGCAGAAGTTGCACAAGGGCAGCCCAAATTATTTGTTCAAAGCCATACAGAACTTATTTCAGAGCCAAGATCAGAACAAAGACATTCCATCTCACAAGCCCTGAGACAAACAGTTGTTCTACCCAAGCTTTATAGCCAAGGGAGAAGTGAAATGATAATCAGCTCATCAGCCAAGTTGGGGGGTTTCTTCTGTAGTGATACTAAAATTGAAATAAATAGTGACAGTCATGTAAGGAAAATTCAGAGACAAAGCACCAGTGAGAACAATAGATATAGAGATCTCAGTTTCTCAAAATTGAGGCCCAAAGATCATTGCAATGGACAAAGTCACATTTGACATAGATGAGGGCAGACACTAGCAAATTACAGATGTTGTCAACATATTTCTTTAATTTATGTTAACAAATTAAGCAATAAATACTTATAGATTATCACTGAAACAATTAACTGGGCAGCTTTTACATAAGACGAGCAGGATGACTGTGAGGCTGTAATGCCTGCTGAAGAGTTCACAATGCTTTACTTGATGTTCTTCAGAACCGCTCAGCATACAACGCATAACAGCAGATCTTTATTCTGCCCATTCTCTACTAAGATGCAGAACAGGAGTAAAAACCGCTCCACCCTTAGCAGATACCCTCCTCCCTGACATTATACAAACACTACAAGTGCAAATCCTTGCAGTGGGAGTACATGACGAGTGCAATATTCTTATAAAAGGGCAAGGCAGCTGACATGCTTCCCATTATGCTAAGCAATTTGAGAAAGTCAGCTTCACAGTTGCCTCCCACGTTCCAGAAGAAATAGTTTTGCACCACTCCATCATTTTTATTCTGTGTTGTATCTTAGTGGCACAATCTAGCCTTAAATATACAGCGCATCCGATACAACATTTACAGTCTTCACAATGACACACATTTACATGGAAAGCCATTTCTAGAGAAGGCACTGAAAAAAAATAGAATACACTTGAAGACCTTACCCGTTTATCTATCTCTCCATGCTGCAGCTGAACAAAGCGAGCGCTGATAGCAGCTATGTAACTCTGTTGATTAGAAAATGCAACCCGCCCAGCTCCTTTTGGGTACTTCAGCTCAGGGTCTGTGTCAATTCCAGCATAGCACACCCCTCCATAGAGTCGATCCATTATCATTGCAAGTTCCACTAAACCAGAAAGGAAAATGAAACAGTGTAGGCTTGGTTATTTTTTCTCCCCCTCTAAAAGCATCCAATGCGACAGTTCATTTGTATCCATGTGCCCCACTGCAAGTGTCAGGAACACTTCATAGTTCATTTGGTGAAGTAACTTCTCTCCCCCCTTGCTCCCCAAATCAGACTGCATATTCAACATGCCCAGTGCTGCGGAACACGCAGTGTACCTGCTCGTAAAGGCCGAGGAACACCACCAACAAAAATGGTTTTTCGTGGGTCAAGAGGCTGTGAACCATCCATAACAAAATCACTATCACTAAGGTTCCAAGGCCGGATCTGAACCTACGGACAAAAAGCCTTTTTTTTTAACCATTCACAATTCAAGGTATATCAGTAATATAACTTAAAACAGTATTCTACAAAGTAGAAAGCCTCCTAAACTACACTATTTTTAACTCCCTATTCAGCAATCATTTCCCAAAACGAAACGTTAATAAGCTCCACTTGATTGTACCACATTTCACCACTTCCTTGTTACATTTCTGGGAAAAAAAACCTCACCCCTTACTTACGCATTTACTTAATCGTGGCCAAACGGTGCTGTGTGAACCACACTACTGCACACATATCTTCACTATTCGAGTTGGTCTAGGCAAGTGGAAGCACCAGACCAGTGTTATCTCAATGGAACAGGCTCAAATGTGTGTGTTTATTTACTATGACAAACTAGCAGCTTTATATTTACCTACTGCTGGCTGAATTTGAAGTGCAAGAATATGACAGTAGTCTCCCAGCTATTACCAGACTTGCATCAGTCACAGAGTCATTTATATTAATAATGTACAGTTCTGTGCCATATTATGCTTTTTCTATTTGTCTCTGTCAAAACAGGTTGCATGCAACACTACAGATAATATTGCAATTTTATTGCATAAGAAGGATAAAATACCTGCCTGAAAATATATTTATTACATCAAAGGTGAAATTCAGCAAACCTTTTTCTAACAAAACTGAGAATTGTAACTAGACTTCAACACTTCCTGATGCCTACTTTAAAAATATGCTATTCATCTTTCTGAAAACTTAATTTGGCAATTTGGGGAAATTTAAACATTAGCATTCTGAAGACAGGAAAAACAAAAGGCACCTGAAGAGTACAATTTCTGGTTATCATACAAGAATTGTGCAGGCCCTGAAAATTCTACCTACCGGTTTGTCTTTGATAGTGGGGCTGGAAACACAAAGATAGAGCTTTCCGTCTTCTTCAATACATGCATCAATCAGTGCCTGCACAGAGCTTTCATCTTGGAACAGCAAAAATGCGTATCCTACCAAAAGGGAAAACAAGCACATAATTTCTTTCCTCTGTTCACCTTATAGTACAGTAACTTAACCCAAAATTATGCTTGGCACCGTGTCATCATGCTACTGTATGACAAAGGACAAACTTCAAGATGCCCTCGCACCTTCCCATCTGAACTTCCTGCAAGCCCTCTCACAGTCACGAAGGAAAGAAGGGAGGGAGACTGCTGATCAACACATTCTCTCCCCATTTCCTTTGAAAAAGAAAAGCCAGTAGAAAGAACTGAACAAAAGCCACAGCTGTGGAGGCATGCTTCCCAGCACGGCTGTTAATATAAGGTGCTAGTACTCTCCGGCATCTGTGAACAGTATTTAGCTGCTTTACAGAAAACTAGCCTTGATTATTATTACAAAAGCAAGTAAAGCAGAATGAGGAACAACAGGAGAAAAAAAAAAAAGAAGAAAGAAAGAAAAGGAAAACCAAATAAAGTAACAACAGGAAGTTGTTAGGGAATAATTGTTTTAGTGCAGAATAATTGCAAAGCCCATTCTAAAATCAGTTTACAACCCAAGGATTCATCATTCTTTCTCATAAACTTTGGTCATCACCACAAAAGTCTCTTTTGAAGTTGAGCCTTATCAAGAAAAATGAATTCTAGAACAATGATACCATTATCAGATATTTACCCTTAGGAGGAAAATAAGATTTGCTTTCTGCCTTGTGTGGCCAGTCTACAATCAAAGGTCCAAAGCGACGAAAGCTAGCAGTGATCTCATCTACACAGAGAGGAAAAAGGCATGAACTGAAATTAAAATCAGTTGACTGCAAGACAATTGAAAAACACAGACTTCATTTAGCTTCACTACATAAACAAACACGCCGTAGCCCTAATGGTTTACCAAATCATAGAAGTGCTTACTAGCTGATGGGGCATCTTTAGGACAAGTCAGAACACATGTTACAAAACAAGACAGTTCAAAGATCCATCTTTTATTTTTACTGTTGATCTCAAACCCACTAATAAACAGAAACTGAATCTATACAGCTATCATAACACAACTTCAACTATTCTGCCACAAAGAGTTTAAAGGCAACTTGCTGACTTGCTAGTAAGCAACCAGCTCTGTCAGTGGGTCTTAAAAATGCAGGAAGACAGGAGAAAAATGATCAGCCTATCACAGGAGTCAGTCACACCTGTTCATACTGCTTGTGAGTATGCAAACACTGACATCAGCAGCAAATACTGTCTGAGTGTGACCTCCACCTAACACAGAGCAAACTTCCACAACAGTGTTATGCAACATTATAGGAGAGGTGGCAAACAACATATAACGATAGCAAGAAGCAACTCTTGCATCCATTTCAAATTTGCCTTCCACCTAAAGTCGCTGGTAAAAACTTGCATATGCTAGTCCTGTGGGAGTCCTCTAGTTAAAATTCTTGTTGAAAGTGACTGTTCCCTTCTCCACAAAAGACATTTGAACCACCACCAGTTAAAGTTCTCTGAACAAGAATTTTTCATTAAAAAAGGAAACAAAAGGAACAAACTTTCTGTTGCTGGAGCGCCATCTAAATTGGCACAAGGCTTAGCTGAATTCTGCTTAAGGTGTTACAGACCCTCCTGCAGCAGCACAGTGTTGGGGTTAGAAATGTGAAAAGGTGCTACTGGTTGTGTTCCTTTCAGTCTGCTTATACCTGCTGATGACACTGCTAATGAAATAGCAGCTCACAAGCCATAGTACTGACAGCTGCATCAGAAATACACCCAGGAAAAGAAGTGTGTCAAGGTTACGTGGTGATGAAGATATTAAGCAAAGAAAACATTACTTATTACATCTCTACTCCTGTAACAAATCTTCATCTAGAACGGTAGTAAGACAAATTTCATTTTAAATTACATTACATAAAATGCATCTTAGAATTACAGTCAGAAAAAGTTCAGATTCAGGTGTGAGACACTTCAAATTACATCGTCCTTTTTCTAATTCACACTCGTGCATTTAGCAAGAGGACTGCTGACGTGAAGCAACTCTGACACATTCAAGTTACCCTCCCAGCACACTTTTAGCAAAGGCTTTGTGCCTCGATAACTCAGCTTCACACAGACAGAACTATTTGTCTCATCTGTTTTTAAATCAACAAAAGTGACAAAGACACAAACAACAACAACAAAAAAAAAACTGTAATAAGATTTTCCCCTTGTAAACATCATGTTAGACTTGACCCTTTAAATGCTGAAGGAATAAGTTATGTTAAACAGGAGCTCTTATGTTGGATGTGACAGTCAGGTTGTCATGCTGCAGTAATACAAACTGCAGTGCATTACAAGCTCTCTCCCTGATGACAAGTGGGGATTAAAAATAATTCTGTGATTGGAAAAAAAAATAAAAGCAACTTTGTGGATTTACACTTGAAGTTCTTGTAGCCACCCCTATGTCATGCTCTATGCACATAAAAAACAGAACTTTCTGATGAAATAAAGCTTCACCACAATTGTGACCCTCACCACGCACATGTTAGAAGCCGCACATGATCACACCACAGGATGTGATCATGGCTAAAAATCACCTCTATGAAACCATACATAAACCTCACATATGAATTAAGTTACATACACCTTAAAAATCTACTAGAAATCCTTTCCCTACTACTAGCTTCTGGTGCATACAAAATGACTGCAAAGTACTATGACTTTCAACAGGGGATATTTACTTGTTTATTGTTGCACCACCACCCCTTTTTTATACCTCTTATATTGCAAACTTCAGTTACACGTGTGATAACGTAAGGTTTTGTTCTTCAGCAGCAAAACAATGTCATAGCCAAAACTAGCCTGAATGATCTCACATTTGCCACGGAGTAAAAGTGGCAATATACAAAACCTTATTGACACATCAAAGCTCTTCTGTAGAGTTAGAAAAACATTCTTGCAGTCAATTAACAGACAAAAGTTTTCACACCGCTTTTCTGCCATTAAGCCAAAAGGAGCTGCTGGGTAAGATTTTCGGGGCGTACCTTCATCGATGTCTGGGGGCAGCCCACCAACAAAGACCTTCCGGGAATAGCGCTCCACTCGCTCCCCATTCTGATGGGAGAAGCAGTGAGGTGACCCCAACCCACTGTGCAGAGTCTGATCGCCACGTCCGTCATCCAAGAACCCGTCTTCCATTGGAAACAGCGAAGACTGACCTGAAGAGGGGGTTAAAAGAAAAAGAAGGAAAAAACATACTAACAGAACAAAGCACAAACTGTTTTAATAGGTACTAATGCATATTAATGTTTTTGTGTTGGCAGTAGGACTGTTTGCAGTCTTCCCTTTTAATGAGCAATTCTGTTCTTGATTACATATGACTCTCAAAGTTTTCATTATCGTTCAGTAATTCAAATGTATTATTTCAGAGAAGAGGTCACGACCTCCTTCATAAAGGCACCACAACTAACAGAAATTTGAAACAAAATGGTACTTCAAATGGATGCTCAGACTGACTACTTTCCATAAATGTCATGTTTCTAATTAAAATTCTTTTAAAAGAACTTTCAAATGAAAGAGAATAAAAGCCCCACTTTCCCCACATCCCCACCTCTTTTTAGGGAGTTTCCCAATAGCAGACACTAGAACCTAAGCTGTACATAATCGCTTCCCAGTGAACAGCTTCTTACAAGGCAGAGAGAAAATTTCACAGCGCAGATGGCAAGAAAAAGAATTCTGCAACTAGATACATTACACAGTTAGATCTCCTGATAACAAAACAAATCACAAGCCACCCACTTGCAAATAACAAAAATATCCTGATAAATCTGGGAAGACCCACTCTCATTTACCACAAATGGAGACTGAAAACTTGGCAATACTGAGACATTCTCAGAAGAAAGCTCATTTGGATATTACAAAGGAACTGCGTTCATGAACTCACTCTAAGAGAAAATGTAAGCATGCTTCCCCTCACTGCCCAATATTCTTCTGTGATAATCCTTTTATCATAGATTTCTTTAATAACATTCATTACTTTTAAATAAGATTATCCGAATGCAACTGTATAATGTAATAAGCTGAGCACACAAACTGATCTCATCCCTGAATTCTTTCTTTGGTTACAGTATTCAATAGCTAGACAACAAACTGATTTCTATTCGCTTAATGAGTGCTTTAGGAATAAATACACATAGGGGAAGTAACCAATTAATGAGGTGTGCCACAAGTTTTGGGATACATTTCCTTTCACCTGAGCTATGATATAATGTGCCTGCTTTTCCAGAGTTCATTACAATCCACCACAGTAGTGCATTGCTACGGTTAATCTATGCTGCTCTGCTTCCTTCCTTTGAAAAGAAATTACTGTCATTTACTCCATTTTAAAAAAGGAAACAACATATTGAATAGCAGATTTACCAGATCCAATATCCTGGCTATTCCCATGCAAAAATCAAACAGTTCACAGGTTGAAAGCAAAAATAAAATAAAATAAACAGTCCACAGAATTTATATGAATAAAAAAATGGAAGACTTGGCCAGTTTTCTTTATTTGAAACTTCAGGGATCTTTTTACTTCTTTGATTAAAATAACAACCTCTATTTAATAAGACCTACTTCTGTAACTAGGTAAACTTGGCTCTGTACTATGATAAAAAATATGGTAATATATACTTAAATGATGCTTTGTTTTTCCCTAATGAACTGATGTGTATTTCATTTCTTTCATCTCTGAAGGCCCCAGTCCTGCAGGCATTGTTGGAGGGGAGCAATTCTCCGTACCTTCACATGTCTTTTTAGGTTCATTAGCATTACCACTGCTGTGAGATAACTCCATAGGCATGCTTGCAGCATCTGGTTCTCTAATCTAAGAGGCCAGGACAAATATTCACTACAGTCTCTGCTGCATCAAGAAAACCATCAGCACTCAAAGAACCAAAATAAGCTTCTCCAGCATTGGCATTCATAACATACACACAAACAGCAACACAGCTCTACAGTATAACATATCATACAGATGTCCACTGAAAGGACTGTGATAGCCTCAATAGCACTGTTGTGGAGTACTACCTAATTCAGTTAAAATGTTTACTTACAGCATGCAGACTAGGGAAACTTATGTGAAACTGATGCTTTATACTCAGATATTTTGGAGTTTGCCCACTAGTAACAACTTAATGTTTTTCTCCCATGAGACATTGTCAACATTAGAAAATTAAATAGGAATATTGTTACCTCGCCTTCTCCCATATGTCCTTGCTGCATGTTAAATGAGAAAGAAAACAGCCTTTCAAACATTGTTATAAGGACCAAAAGACCTTGATTTATTGCCTTTATTCTAACTTGGTGATTCTCCAGCCTTTTCATATTCCAGGTCATTTAAATTGGTGTTCATGAACTGACCTCCCCTCCCACCCACAACACGCCTTCCTTGCGCCATCTCTTATTGACAAAACATGCTGCTTTCAAGCTGACAAGGTACGTGTGTAGCCAAAGAGACTTTCTGAAAGCAATGGAACTTCTTAAGTTGCACATTTCTATACCACATTTCTATACAACCCTGCTGGATGTGCACTCGTACACAAATCCATCTTTTCTCATGCAGCAGATGCCCTACACTCAGCCCACCATGGCCCATGCTCTCTCCTCACCAACATCAAGCACTGCCATCTGAACTGCAGGACCAGCCCTAACAAACATGCTGGACCTGCAGGACCAGCCCTAAAACAAGGAACGTGGAGGACAACAGTGCTCATTTCTGTTTTCAAATTCATTTGCTACAAGCACTTTGTGCCACTCTCAAAATCCTTGCTTGAAATTATTACCGGCAAATAACTAGCTGAAAAACTGAAATTCAAGGAGAAAATGTCTGGGTGGATAATCTGGCTTTCTGACCTCCCGCAGTTTGTGCACAACAGTACAGAAGCCCTCACACTGACTTTGTACTTCACTGTAATAATTCAACAGCTTCCCGCTGCTTCCTACTTTTCATTTCCCAAAACAAATCAATTCTACCAGCAATAAGTATAACACTTTCAGGTGCCAGCTTCCAGTACCTGTTCAGCACGGTTACACTTTGTCATCACATTTGCACATTCTTTCTGTTTCAGCCTCATTAAAATCTGTACCTGAAAGAAGGCCAACTGTTTGAAAGGCTCGGGTTCTGCTGGCAAGTACTACGAGAAACTCGGAGCACATCACTCGTTTTATTTTGCTTCCTCATTCAAAACTGAGGCTGACAATTAGTTTAAGTATTTAAATATCTGCAAACCGCAATAAAACATGAATAGTTCCCGCTTTCAAAATAAAAAAAACATATCAGTTCCATTTCCCTCACAATTATTTGGCACCTGTAAGATCATTTATGTCTCTGATGCTTGGCTGATACGTTCACAATTAACACGGAGATTAAAAAACAAAGCCTTTGTCTTCAGAGTGCAGCACATCACCTCACGTTCACACAGATCCTGGCTTTAGGGAAGAACCTGGGGGCTTTACATGCCTTGCTTATGCACAGAATCCAAGACTCACATAGCCCTCAAAGTGAAAAGTTTGGGGAAACTTGGCTTTCAGGGAAAGCAATCAGCAACCTTCCAACATTCTGACAGAGATCAGAAGCATGTGCACGTTTCAGAGCACTTTCAAAACCAACCCTGCCTACAAAGCCATAAAAATCCTGCCTGCAGTTCCTGAATCAGAACCAAACCGCACGAAGTCCTTGCTTGGAACACCCACCCTTGGCAGCACTGCTCTCAGCACAGGCTCGGCTCCCACTGAGGATTTGTGTGCACAATTCAGGTCAGTCCTTCCTCGCTGCTTTGCCACCTGTGTCACTCACAACAATAAGACCTTTTCTCCTTTCCTGGCATGGAAAGCAGCAAAAAAAAAAAAAACAAAAGCTCAGCCAGCAGCTATAAAGCATTTTCAGCGCCAAATACCACTGAAGAAGGTTTGAGAACCAAATACTGAGATTTTTTTTCCTCATTTAACTTGTTTTGTGCATTTGCTTCCTCTAACCCACAAAATACCAGCACTTGACATTTCAAAACGTTTCTCAAGAGCCACTTGTAAATTACCCCAGCACAGTACAGATACAAACTTTCTCCTCTCATTGAATTCAGAGCTCATCACATGCCATTAATTTTGCACAATGTAAAACAACGCTGAAACAAAAGAACGCTCTCTTGGCAGGCCGGGAGGGCTGCTAGCTGCCATCTACCAGCCCTGACTCTGGCTTTCGTAATTTCATATTAAGAGAAATCTTATCCTAGCTGAACTGCAGCACAGCTGAAGTGCCTGCTGTCTCCCACTCTGCAGACTGGGCGCACTTGCAGCTGTACTTTGTGCCACTGAGTGCAGGGGACTTTCACAAACAGGTCAGCACCGGGGGTGGAATGTTTCAAGCAAAGGGACGAGCAAGCAAGAGGCATCTCCTGTGGAGAACGTCACCCCAACCGACTCAGGGCCGTGCTGCAACTAGGAGAACTATGCCAGCATCCAAACACAGCATGCATACTTAGTACTGATGTAAACATAATGCTCCAGAATGAACAGACCGACCGACTGCTCAGAGTTGAATGATGGCTGTATCCTCATTCTCACTTCCTTGCTATAGTCCAGGTTGATGTAACACCTGTACAGTTCTGTACTTAATTCCTCTTTGGTCCACAAGCTGCTCAAGGCAGTGATTGTGTTCTTTACATCAGCACAGACACCAACCTAACAACACACCAGTCTCTTGTTCTCATCTTAGGCACTGATAATGATGTATGCAACGCTTATGATTCTCTTTTCTTTTTAATTATGGAAAAATAATTGAAGTAGAATCTAACTTCATTTCAAGAGCTTAGACTTCTATGCCAAAGCAGGCTACCAGCATAGCAACATCTTACAGTTTGGTCAGAGACAACTTTATACATCAAACATGGGGTGGGTCAGCAAGGAGAGAAGCTGAGCAACACTGCAGTGAGAAGTAACTATTAAAACACACAGATGGGGTTTGTGTGAGAGCTTCCACCACCATCATTATTCCTTCCCTGCAGGTGCTCTCAGGTAATCTGCCAGGCTAACACAGTGCCACGCTGACTGAACCTCTAAAGATGATCTTTCACACATTTCAAAAACCACTTAACTCCTCCTGAAAGCTGACAAACCAAATCCAGCCTCACTCCTCACAAAAATATGGAAGCTTCAAAGCTAACTTTGAAGTTTTCTTTGC